AATTTTCCAAACATTCACAAGTGAAGTGATCAATTTCACAAATTACTCAATCAATTTCATCTCAAACAACTAGTCCTAAAAATTGGAGAAACTTGCCAAATTTAATTCAATATTTAAGAACACCCATTAATCTTAATTTTATCCAAATCCAAACCCCATGGAATTCTAGCCTAACATATTTATCAAGAAACTAATACAATTAATAAAAGAGCTAGAGTAATCTGTAGATGAAACTAAATAGTAATTAAACATTATTAACAACACAAGTATCCAATAATCTAAGTAAACAACAATTAGGAATATGAAATAATTCAGGAATTAAAACTGAAAGTTTATTGAAGCTTGAATCTAAACATGAAACTAGAATTGGAATGGAAAAGATGGCAAAAGATGAACCGAATTTCCAGTACAGTAGCAGAAGTTTTCTCCTTTTCCCTTCTCTGCGCTAACGGCCTTTTCTCTTCTCTAGCCCGGTGGGTTCTGCTCTGCCCTAGCCCTGAGGCCAAGAGCTCTTTTTTCTTTCTTTCTGTGAACTGATCTGCCTGCGGTTGCTCTGGTTGGTGCCACTCCTTTATTGCTCTTCCCACTCGTTGTTTCCTCCCCGGTGACCTTTCTATTCCGCATCTGACTTTTTTTCTAGCAGTTGTCCCCTTATTTGTTCTTTTCCTTGATATCCCACGCTGCGGGCCTGCTGTTGCTAGCTATCCGTCCCTTCCTCTTTCTTTTTATTTGTTTTAATTTCTTTTTGTTTGCTTTTCTTTTTGTTCTTCACGCAGCTTGGCTGCAGTTTTTTTGGTGCTTTCTTTTGATTAATTAATGTACTTCATTTGTTATTTGTATTAATAAAAGAGCATTGACATCTATCGATTTGACACATTACAAAATATGAATAACACAAGTGAAAAACAAAAACAAAACCAACTCAAACACTTAAACTAAGCACAAATCACTAAAAATGTAAATTTCATCCCTAATTTCAAACATTAACAAAAATGCAATAAAAACGCAGAAAAATGTATCAATTTGCCCTGAGTTTAACAAGAAACACTATAAAAAGTGAGTGAAAATATGTTAACAAATTAGGCTTATCAATCTCCTCACACTTAAGCATTGCTTGCCCTCAAGCAACAAAACTACTCTCAAACATATTTTCAAGGCAAACTGTTTATGGTGCACAACTCAAGGGCTCAAGATCACTTGGATTCAATCAATAATAGACTAAGATTCCAATCTAACTATATTTCCATGAAAGTACATTAATAACTAAACTTTTATGACACAACATACTAAAAAAATCCTTTAATGCTAGCATATATGCAAAAACTGCTACTAATTAGTTATGAGCACAAGTCAACATTCACATTCAAAAACCCTCGGTCATCCTTAATTAGTCATGAAATACACACAAGCTCCAGTTCTAAAAACAGTTTTAGCTCCCCTAGCATTTTTTTTTTTGTTCTGTTTTTTTTTTTAATGAACTTGGGGGAGCTATAAACCAAGCCAAGTTGGTATGAATTTTATGGTTAAACTAAATCATTGATTTGTGGGGCTATAAACCAAGCCAAGATGAGACTCCCAACGAAGACACTTCTCAAATCAATAATCAAGTACAACCAGAATAGCGAGAGATATTCTATCAAATGCTGAAAGCAGAGCCTCATTCAAGGATAGAATTCTCCCTAATCCAAAGAATTTAAATATTTTAAACTAACCAAGGAGCATTGTATATATCCATGAAAAGAAAGTAATACCAAACAACCAGTCAAACCAAAAACTCAAACTTGTGCACAGAACTTCAAAGTAGAAATCAAGCATATCTCCTAATATTTAAAGATTTTTTTTTTAAAGTATGATGATAATAAAAAATAGTTATAACAACACTTTCAAAAAAAAAATAGTTAAAGTAGATTACACCTTAGCTTATTAATGATCTTAACTTAGTTTACCTGAGCCTCTTGTCATGCACACTAGATCAGTCCATTGCCCTGTTCCAAACCCTCCTCACACTTGGAGAATAGACCTCGTCCTCGAGATCTCAAAATAAAATCAAAATAAAACAGGGCAAATATGGATTTTTCAAAAGTACCCTCCTCACACTTAAGATTAATCACAAATAAACACACATGGAGGGTAAAAATTCATAGAGAAAAGTAAGAAGTACTCCCCTTGTGCTCAACATTGAAGAAGATTTGAAAGAGCAAGCACAAATGAAAATTTAATCCAATTGGGGAACTCCTGTAATTAACCTGAAAAAGCTAAAGAAAATATATATGAATCAAAACTAACACACAAACAAGGGGAAAAGAGGATTTTTTTTTTTTTTTTAGTTTTTTTTTGTTGTTATTTTTTTTTTTGCATCTTTTTTATTTTGAATTTTTTTTCCTTTTTAACACTTGGATTGCCTCCAAAAAAGCGCTTCTTTAACGTCACTAGCTTGACGCATTATCCGCCTTTTCCTTGTCCTTCCAACTCTTGGATCATACAACTTGGCCCTCGGGACTCTTCTTGTATACCACCTCTGTTTCATAAAAAACTCACAAGCAAGAACAAAGGTCTGTGCATCTTTCTCATTTTCAGGTGGCAAAATAAAATAAGGAAAGACATCCTCATTCTCCAGATCCTCTTCAATCCAGACAGTTTTGTGCCATGTACTAGTATCAAGCACATCAAGAAGAAAGTCAATGGACTCCTCCATGTTTGTTTCTTCCTCAACATGTGCATCTTCTTCATCAACTTCCACGTCCAAAGTCTCCAACAATAGATCAAGGAGCTCCTCAATTTCATTCATCTTCTCAGAAGTTCTCTTTTTAAATTTTTCACATGATGCAACTGTAATCATTTCAGATTCCTCTTCTCTGTGAGATGCTTTATCAAATTCAGCAAGACATAATGTCAGAATTTCTCCCTTTTCAACTTTACTTTTGCACAAAATGTCACCCACTTCCACCTTCTCTGAAATTGGCTCAAAGATCTCTCCAGTTTCATTCTGTAGTTCCACTGAGCTTTGTTTTTCAGTGGAGGTCCATCTCTCACCTGTGAATTCTTCATCAATTATGGGTGCCTCCGTGCTAGTCTCCAAACCTTCCTGAACTGCCACAACATGATTCTGCTTGTTGACCCGACTTGGTCGTGAGTTGAGATTCTTCACTTGAGTTGCCAGGTTGTCAATTATTGTTGTGAGGGCTGAAATTTGATCGGTGCCTTGAAGTGTAGTCTTGGAAGAAGATTCTGTCTCGTAGTACCAGTTCTTAGCATTTGATACCACATTCTCCACGAGTGTTTCACTCTCTTTTGGTGTCATGTCGAGAAAAGAACCCACCTTTGAATAACAGTCCAACTCTGTTTTACTTACAACTTGAAGTCCATAGTAGAAATAGAACATCAAGTCATAAGCATCCATCAATTGTTTAGGGCACTTTCTCTGTAGGCCTTTGTATCGATCCCAAGCCTCACTTATTGTTTCCATTGGAGCTTGTCTGAAATTTTGAATCAAGGTTCTGATGAACGCTACCACCGATGGAGGAAAATACTCATGCATGAACGCCTGATGAAGTGCATTCCAGGTGGTGAAGCGAGCAGGTGGAAAAGAATTTAACCACCGAACAGCCTTATCCCGAAGAGAGAATGGGAATAAGATAAGCTTCACGGTGTCAATTGGAACTCCACTGATCCGGAATGTTTGACACGTTCTATTAAACCACAACATATGCACCCTGGGATCTTCATGTTTCAAACCGCCAAATTGATTAATTGATATCACTTGAATGATATCAGGATTAATTTCAAAATCAGTGACATCGATTGGCGGAACGATGATGCTATCTTCCTCGGAAAAGTCAAAGGTCAATGTTTCAAGCACTGTTCTGCTCTCGCTCTCCCTCATCCTGATGAATTTTCTGTCCAGGCCCTCTCAATGTTCTTTCAGGATAGAGAACAAATGATAGCAACTTGGCATGTTTGTAAGAGACTGATAACAAACTGGTCCTGCAAACTTCAAAAAAAAAAAAAAACGAAACAAAAAAAACAGAAAGTAAAGGAGAAAGTCTCACTAACTCGGGTTCGCCTATGCCAATAACGAAAACCAACTTACAACCGTGCCACTCCCCGGCAACGGCGCCATTTGATGACCGCTTTCGCGGCGTTGTAGTAAAACGGAGTTTAACCTTTCCGGATGGAAAAGTTTATCCCCGAGTATCGTGTCTCTGAGGAGTGGCGGAGGGAAGTGTTGGTTTCAATATCGGTCACCAGTTAGTACGAGTCGTTGCAAGCTTTCTCAATCGATTAATTGTGATAATGGTTAAGTAAATAAAATTAAACAACAAAAGTAGTAGCGGGGAATTTAATTAAATGACATTAATGAGTAAACTAAAACTAGTGAACATGCAAAATAAATTGAGAGAGAAATTAAAATACTAATTTAAACTAGCGAACATGTGGATAAAAAAAAGTTTTGAAAATAAAATGCTAAAAGGTAAATTCAATATGATTAGTAACAAAAAAATTAACTAATTAAAAGTGGGGTTTAGATTTGGAATAAGGATCTTGGGTGTCTTTGATTATAAATAAATTTGGGTATTTTCTCCAATCTAAGAATAGTAACATTAATTCTCATAAACAAGAATTTGATTTTAATTCCCTAACATGTCCTATTTCTAGGCTTAGTTTAGGGTGTGTGGGATGTGAGCTAAATTAATTCTACACTCATAGACAAGCAAGAATTAATTTTCCAAACATTCACAAGTGAAGTGATCAATTTCACAAATTACTCAATCAATTTCATCTCAAACAACTAGTCCTAAAAATTGGAGAAACTTGCCAAATTTAATTCAATATTTAAGAACACCCATTAATCTTAATTTTATCCAAATCCAAACCCCATGGAATTCTAGCCTAACATATTTATCAAGAAACTAATACAATTAATAAAAGAGCTAGAGTAATCTGTAGATGAAACTAAATAGTAATTAAACATTATTAACAACACAAGTATCCAATAATCTAAGTAAACAACAATTAGGAATATGAAATAATTCAGGAATTAAAACTGAAAGTTTATTGAAGCTTGAATCTAAACATGAAACTAGAATTGGAATGGAAAAGATGGCAAAAGATGAACCGAATTTCCAGTAGCAGAAGTTTTCTCCTTTTCCCTTCTCTGCGCTAACGGCCTTTTCTCTTCTCTAGCCCGGTGGGTTCTGCTCTGCCCTAGCCCTGAGGCCAAGAGCTCTTTTTTCTTTCTTTCTGTGAACTGATCTGCCTGCGGTTGCTCTGGTTGGTGCCACTCCTTTATTGCTCTTCCCACTCGTTGTTTCCTCCCCGGTGACCTTTCTATTCCGCATCTGACTTAGTGAAAAACAAAAACAAAACCAACTCAAACACTTAAACTAAGCACAAATCACTAAAAATGTAAATTTCATCCCTAATTTCAAACATTAACAAAAATGCAATAAAAACGCAGAAAAATGTATCAATTTGCCCTGAGTTTAACAAGAAACACTATAAAAAGTGAGTGAAAATATGTTAACAAATTAGGCTTATCAATACAACTTTGACATCGTTTCTGCCGGGGAAGTCATACCTCATATTGAAAGGGAAGAGGTGAAACACTCATTGTGTGGAAATTGTTGCCTGAAAAAAAATTGAGAAAACAAGGGAAGGATGAATGGCCGGTATCGTTTCCACGAACTGTTGGTCAAATTGAAGCCTTTACACTTTCCTTGCAACCTCAATAGTAGGAGAACAATTGAATCTTATATGACTGCTAATGACCACCGGAGGTGTGACCTTCTTAGCGGCTTCGACAACACCCACTGTGGCACCATACATAAGTGAAGAGACATACAACGTGCGACGAACATTAGATGCGAACTACGAAGTGTCTCCCTCCTTGATGGCGGTGAAATATAAGAAAAAGATAGAGCACAAGATCAAAGTCGTGCGAGAATGGATACTTCGAGTAGTATGAAGCACAAGCGATTCCATAATGAACAATAATTTTTTTTATTTCTTCATCGCCCACGGTCGGGATGTACAAGCTGAGAAATAAACGGGGAGAAATACATGAAGTAGCAGGAGATACTGACTACACTACTCCTTCTCGGCATCCTCCTTCTTATTGGCCTCATCATGAGAGTCATCATCATCATCGGAAGAAGGAGCTAGTTTCTCACCCTAGCAAGGACGTCTTCTCGCTACTGAGCTCGGTCCTATTTACCAACGTTTTTCAGCAAGACCTTCTTGGTGCTATGCTCAGCAAAATCGAATCGGTTGCGGACAATCTTAAACATGATTGGCATCAACGCGGTGACCACATCAAAGTAGCCTTTGTCAAAGGAATCTGTGCCGAGATTCTTTCCGAAGAGAACTGCCAAGGGGTTCTAGCTACTTCAGAAGCTCCATCCCACGGGCAAGCTGCTTCTTTTTTGGTACTTGTGAAAGCACGTCCCCGAAAACATTGCCCGCAAAGCCTCGAGAAAACTCTTGGGCGGTTTCTTCAAAATCTATTATCGTCTTGTATATAGCAACTGCTAGAGAGAGATAGGCGTTTACCACTTAGGTGGCCTCAGGGGTAACACCCGGACTGAAGGAGATGGTGACCTATGCATGCTCGGCTACAGTTATCTTATGGATGGCCAAGCTTGGGGCATCCTGGGTCTCCTTGAGGTGAAGGGAAGTCACTTTGGACTCCTCATAAACCTTGACCGCCGCTGCTAGCACCTCGTTAGCTTTCCTTTAGCATTGAAGGCATCTTGGTTCTGCGCAGCACGAATTACAAAGCATAGAGACTGGCCTATAGAGGGGAAGGACGGTTAAGGATACAAAGCAATCACGTACAGACACAAAAGAGAACTGGACAGGCGAAATCATACATTACTTGAAAGAAGGAAAACAATGTTCCCTCCTCAGCTTATGCGCAAGGACGTGATTGCACCTCCAAGCTAGCATGTTAGAAGAACTCTTCCCACGCTTAAAGGGTGGAGACGGCGAGATGCTAGCCCATTGGATTTGAGTTGGAGGAGTCGAGATCTTGGGCATAGGGACGCTTTGGGAGGGCATTCTGCCTAAAGTTCATGTCACGCACCGACCACAGTACGGAAATGCTAAACTTCTAGAGGGACAGTCTCTCCCGGGGTTCGACGTTCGGCCCCAGCTTCCTGAATAGGGGGGATGGGGGTCATTCCATTTCTCCTTGTTGTTGCTCTAATAGGAAAGCATTGGAAGAGGATGCACCTGAGGACTTCGATGTTTAGTGGGCTGCTTTCTTCGCCCTCTGCACCTCCCTCTTAGCCATGTGTTTCTCGTTGTTCTCCCGCATTCGCTCAACGTCTATTTGAGCTTTAGTTGGTATGGATAGAACTAAATAAATGAATGGTAATTATTAGAATCCTGAAGGTGCTAACCTTAGCATGAGATGGGACCATCTGAGGCCTTAATGTTTGATTCCTTTACAAACCAATCCAAAGGTTCAGATGGTACCTATCCCGACTTTGGCCAGCGGCTTGGGAGGTATGGTAGGACGTGATGGGGTAGACGCCTTTGCGCTTCGTGGCCTTTATTGTTTCCCCCAAATCATTAGTATCAGGCGGTTCGTTCATCCTTGGAGGGAGCCATCCCATCTCGTCGGCAGCATACCACCGGGTACTCGAAGGAAGAAAAATCAGTGCTTCAACCCTTTAATGGAACACGCGGCCATATCAAAGAGTTTCCAACCACTGCAAGTGTTGACCTTCATTTACTTGTCGGCGTCCAAGGGAGCGAATTCGAAGGAAAAAATAGTGGAAGAGGTCTAGACTCGAATCTAGTATCTTCTCCTTACACCACACAATGAAACACTCCATGAGCCATTAAGAGTTTGAAAAAACCTAGGCGAGTATAACCTCATAGCAGTGGAAGATCTGCACAAAGAATGGATGGATAAGGAACTACAGCCCAGCGACCACCATATTCACATGGACCCTGATCATTCTCGGGCAGTGCCACATCGGGTGGGTTGCCCCACATAAGGAACTGCGTCACAACGACCACCAAATCCACACGGACCATTACGAAACAGAGGAAAAATAGCGCAAAGCCGTGTGTCCCCGACGCTATGAGTGATAGTTGTCTTGACAGTTGATGAGTATTTGAAGTGATGTTTGCGGCAACTGGTTTGACTCCCAAGATTTTCATCACGATTACCTCACTCTCCGCCTTCACGCAACACGTTTCCTGGCGGTATGCTCCTCGCCAAATGTCGCTCTGTGACTGGACCTCTTTCCAACGGTTTCTCCTATAAATACCCCCACTTAAGGCTTTAAAATCAAGGTTTTCAAAAATCGTTGTTCTTCTCTATAGAATGTAATCATTTCTTTTTTACGTAGGAAACTCATTATCAACTCTTTCTCCGACAAAAAATAGGTATTCCTTTTCCTCTAACCTACTTCTTCTCCAATGTCCCTTTTTCTGTGGAACACAAAATAGATCATCGGGAGATCCCGAACATTTGTCTGATGCCGGTGTTAATGATATGGTCCGCTAGGGTGCTGGCAATGCCGCCACATGAGATGTAGTATTGCATGCCCAACCTAATGTTAGGAATGATTTCGGGGACGATGAGTTTTCTGGCGACGATAGGGTCATTTACGGGGCCAGTCCTCCTGATGACGTGAAACGTCATGAGGTTCTCTTGTAAAACGCTCAGGAGTGCAAGCACTTTTTTCAGGCCATTGCACGGACATTATCTAGATCGTTATACCAGAACCTGCCGAGTACACCCTAAGTGGGTCGACCCACCCAATGCGGCACTGCACAGGCCTAACAATGGTCCTTGTGGATTTAGCGGTCTTCGGGCCACGGTTCCCAATCCATCTCTGTTCTTAGTGCAAATATTCCACTGTGCGGTGTAAGGAAAAGAAGTTTGATCCGAGTCTCAACCACTTCGACTATTTTTCAAAGCCTCTCCGTAAAACGCCAAAAGGTACATGAAGGTTAACTACCACATTAGTCGAAAGCTCTTTGATAAGACCTCAGCTTCCATTAAGGGGTGGAAACACCAATGTTTCCTCCTCCAGGTCCCCGACAGTATGCTGTCGATGAGATGGAATGGATTCCCTCCAAAGGTAGAGTCGCGTGAAACTGAACAGTTGGGAGAAACCACAAAGGGGGACGACGCGTCTACCCCATCACGTCCTACATTACCCCCAAGCGACTGGTTGAAGTCGGGATAGGTACATCCCGTACCTTTGGATGGGGTTTTAAAAGAATCAAACACCAAGGTCACGGAGGTCCCATCTCATGCCAAGGTTAGTTACCTTTCCTTTTTTCAAGTCCATCGATACAAACTAATGCTCAAATGGACGTCGAGCAAATGAAAAAGAATAACGAGAAGCGCGTGGCTAAGAGGGAGTCGTAGGGGGTGAAGAACGTAGCCCACCGAGCATTGAAGTCCTCGGGTGTTACCTATTCCTCTGCCTCCCAATCAGAGAAGCAACAAGTGCAAATGGAGTCGCCCGCCCGTGTCTGCCCCCCCCCCCCCCCCCCCCCAGGAAGCTGCCCCCGAAAATCCAAAACTGAGTGAGACTTCCCTTCTGGAAGTTGAGCCTATCCACACGCTAGTTGGTGCTCACCTGAACTTCAGACAGAACGGCCCCCAAAGCGACCTTGAGCCTAGGAGATCGGCCCTTCCAACCCTAATCATGTGGGCCAGCAGCTTCGCGACTTCTCTTTCTAAGTGTGGGAAGAGTAAGTCCGACATGTCGACATGGAGCTGCAATCGTGTAGTTTCACAGAGGCTAAGGAGGGAGCATTACTTTCATTCTTCAATGTAATTAATGTCTAGTTTTTGCCTATCATGCTCTCTTTTGTGTTTGTATGTGATTTGTTTATATCCCTAACCGCCTTTCCCCTCTACAGTTCAATCTCAATATTTTTCAATCATGTGCTGCACGAGACCTGGATGCGCTCGAGGCTAAGAGGAAAGCCAACGAGGTGCTAGAAGCGATAAACCAAGCAGCGGCAAAGGCGTGTGGGTAGGCTAAAGTGGCTACCTTTCAACTCAAGGAGACCCTGGATGTCCTGAGCTTGGTCTTCTAGAAGGTAGCTGCAGCCGAGCATGCTAAGGTCACCTTCTCCTTCAGTTTTGGTGCCACCCCCGAGCCTGCCTAGGTGGTAAACACTGATCTACAAGATGACAACTAATTTTGAGGAATCCACCCAAAAGTTTGCCCAAGGCATTGCGGGGGGGGGGGGGGGGGGGGGGTTTGAGGGACACACTTTCACATGCACCAGAGAAGAAACAGTTATTCCCTTGTTTGGAACTTATGAGGGCGATCCCCATCGAGGATCTCTTCTATGAGAACCTCGAC